TTTATTAATATTGGCCCCATCGAATATTGATTATCACCCTAAAATATGTGCCAGTATTTTTTTAACTTCGAGTAGACTTCAAAATTACATAGATGTAATTCTATTCACGGTAAACGTGTGAGAAGAACTATATACATAAACTGGCGTGGAAATCTACAGAAGATAGGCAGCAGCGTCTTCCTGATCATAGCTTAAAATAATAAAAATATGCAGTTGGCAACCCAGGTTTCCATGCGATCCTTATTGCAATTAAAATATGAGTGGTGTTTGGGTGGACTGAATTTGGGTTGCTTACGTACCTACTACGAAATTTAAGTTTAGATCGGTTCAATTATCGCGTTATATAGATGACTTTCAAGATTCTATTAATGTAGTTTTACTCATAGTTAAAATTAAAGTAAACCTGTGTTTAAAATTTGCTTTCTTTGATATTTATAGTATTCTTTCACAAGAGTCTGTACATTTGCTCATGTGAGCTGTGAAGCCGGGACTATCACAAAAATTTTAACAGCTATGTCTGAAAATGTGAATGCTATCTTAAATATATGGCAAGCTCAAAATTGCAAAACAAAGCCGCGAGCATTTATAAAAATTATTTGATTTGAAAATTCTAACATTCATTTTTTAGTTTCTGTTTTTTCATTTTGGTAATTAATTATTATAAAGTATTCATTATTGTATATAGAAGTGGCGGATAAAAACATTTATATATTGATTAAAACTATTTTTACGGATTTTATCGCGTTTATTTTACTATTATTTTTGATTCCCGACGTTTCGGGCGCTTTCCAGCACCCATGGTCACGGGGAACTGAGATGACTGACGTCCCGATGTCATTGTTAATCTCGGAGTACCTTCAGCTTTTTTAATTATTGTTTATGGTCCGATCTATGCATAATGAACTGACTATGTCCTGAGGTCTTGCAGTGGTATGCTTGGGTTTAGTTTTAATTTTATTGGTTATAGGATGCCAAGCAGGTGGTAGTACCCAGCCTCCTTCTCTATTGAAATTAGGTAGTTTTTTAATTTCAATAGCCTCACGTATCATCCTTGGTAGGGATCGGTGTTCTTTCGCGAGGATTTGTGGTCTATCAAATCTGATGTAATGGTTGGGGCCGTCTACAATATGACCGCAAACTGCGAACTTCCCCCAAACGTTGATGCTTCACGTCAGCTATATGTTCTTTTACGCGGGTTCTAATTGATCTTTTTGTTTGTCCTATACCTCAGGATATAAGTATATATATATATATATATATATATATATATATATATATATATATATATATATATATATATGTCGCCGCACGCGCTACGGCCTTCAAATGAAATATTAATTAATGATTTAACGCACTATTACCTACTATATTTGTAACTTAATTATTCTATGTAAAATAACTACTAGTGAGATAGTAATTACATTGTTTTAAATAGCTCAATTATAAATATTTTAAGGATCGTGTTTTGACTATCCTGTTATTATTGCATTCGAGTTTCAACTGATTAATACTTGTTTAATAATTAGCAATCATTGTTTTCTAATCGTTAGAAATTCTGTTTAAATTATAAGTAACTACAGGTTTACTATGAACTCATACAATACTCTTTATACTTCTATTTAGATTAAAAGTAGTTAAACTGATTAAAAACTGAAGGCTTGCGCAACGCCATTGGCCCGCGCCCTTTTTGCTACCGCGCGGGAGTGGTGCATTGTGCACCTTTACCGAAAAATCTTTGTGACGTTCATTCTCTCGTCTGCGCTTGTGGTGTAAAAGCAAAAAGCAAGTACTGTGAGTGATTTAAATATTAAATAAGTAAACCGTGCTATTATTGCTGTTAATCAGTTATTACTGTCAACTCTATTATATTTGTGTGTAATAAACTGTTCTCATTAGACACAATAAGTGTATGTATTTTATTGTGGTGTGTTAGTGATTTGTCATGGATAAACTTAATAGCAGAACCGAGAACTCCAACGGAGTTCATGGTTCTGCTCGTTTCATATTTTACGAATATTATATATATATATATATATATATATATATATATATATATATATATATATATATATATAAGTAAGGCAAAATATCACCATTTTTTGTATTTTACGTTAGGTTGCATTGCCTTGAAAAAGTGGAATTTTGACTGTCGGCGTAGTTCAATTTATTACGCAACGGTTAAAACTTATTTTAGGCTTTATTTGTAAATATTTTATTTATTTTAATAAAACACTTCAATCGTATAAAATAGAAATTAATCTTTAAAGGAAGGAAAATACTTAACCCTCCTTTTTTGTAGCTCCGAAATCGGATGAAAAGAACCCCATAAGTTGCCCCGGATCCCTAAATACCTACAAACAAATTTTTATGAAAATCTGTTGAGCATTAAGTTTTTGCGTAAATCGTGAATACACAGGTAGGCATACAGACGGACAAAGAGACAGACAAAAATTCTAAAAACCACTAATTTGGCTTCAGTGCCCTTTATTTACTCTTCTGGACTTGTTTTTTCCAGAAAATATTTGTATTACAGACATGACCTTTCTACATATTTATTATATGTAGGTAGATAATAATTTCTTAATTGCTAAATCAAATGACATCACATATAAGTACAACGGCTATTGCAAAATGAATGATTAAATGATGTCTTAATTTTTGCATTATGTGCGAAAATCTACTTATAGAATAGCGTACAAGTCGTTTTATAAAATGAAAATATCCATTTCATAAATCAAAAACACCAAAAATGTTTTATTTTGAGTTGTTTGCAGTTGCTCGTGCCAAATTTAGCAAAATGGAACGTTTATGGATCGAAACACCTCGGCGTCTCTCTATTTATTTTGTCCACCATTAAAAGCTTTGCTCTTAAGTGTTTTACGTAAATGTTTGAAATTTGGCATAGTTTTATATATGGTTGATTCATTGATTATAGCCCACTAAAAGTCGACTGGACACAAGCTTCCCACATAGACTATCTCGTAGGAAGATTTTAATTATTATTGAGTTGTTATCACAAAGATACTGCTGCCCATCTCCTGTTTCGATTTCTCTCTGTCGTCTCTCACAACACTCATGTGACGATCTACCCTCTATAGTACATTATCTATGATCTACGACATGTAGTGGGAATTCATTTTCCACTACTACACGTGTAGTTTTAAAATAAGAAAAAAAGACGTGTGGCACTCGGGGACTGCCGCGGTAAAGCTATTGCATAGCATTTTGTATCAACTTATGCAATTATAATTATTTTTTATTTATTTTATTTATGCAGTATTTCTTTTTCTTTGATATTAATTCAAGTTACACTTTTTGAGCGTGGTGACCGATAAGAAAACAAATTTAAGAGGGCTACTTTTAATATCGCTCATTTTAATATCAAAAATTTAGGTTATATTTATAGCAGTATTATATTTTCAATTCAAAATTAATACTGCTTTTGTGATAATAATAAAATGTATGTATATAAAGTACTCACTCATTTTCTTTCACTATTTTTTCGTGACTTTCTTCATTAATAATAAATGCACTTTGTTCATTCATATTCAAAACACTTTATACACAAATTTTACAAGTACAGCTATTCACTTTTGTACATAAATACATCACCTATATACTTTCTCATAAACAGCTGCTTATGTATTCATCCGATTTCAGAGCAGCTCGTCTCGATTCGTGCGAGCTTCGTAGAGTCTTACAATACGTCTAGTTGCACGCACACAAACACTGTGTCGAAGACTGCCACAGAGTACTTTTTTATATATAGGAAAAGACTGCCGAAAAGAAACGACGTTAGACAATGCACGGCCTTCAAGCCACACCTCCGTGCCCGTCGGAGTGTGGAGCGTGAGGTTTTTTTCGTTACGGAATTTCTGGATTCGGTCCCCGCGCTCAAGGCCCGCGATAGAAGCTATGCAATAGCTTAAAACACAGACTAGAAATTTTAGAAGATTTTGAAGTTCACTAGACTAACGGCCGGGCTCAAAAGGTCGTGGGATCAAATTCACCATTCGACTGTTGTCATGAACTACTCCTAACACAAGTATTTCAAGCTTACCAGTAGTGGTTAAAGGGAATATTAGTAACGTTGATAGTATTGTTAGTATTTTATTATAAAAAAGAGACTTATTTTATTTTTATAAAATTGCAGTGACAAACTAACTTGCTGTCCACTTGATGATTCATGATTACCGCAGTCCGTGGGACGAAAATCTTTAAACAAAGAAGGCAACAGATACGTTGTCACCTCTGAGTACTAAGATGCCATTCCTCTCTGCCTATAATTGATTGGCTCCCCAAATCCTTCAGACTGCGACACAGTAATGCACTAGACACTGCTATTTGGATCTGTATCTGCGGACGGGTTCCTATGCAAGAAAAGTGTCGTACGACTAAATTAGAATTGTTAAGAGTTAAAAAAAGATAGAATACAGATTAAAAGCATTTTGGTGCACTCTATTTTTTGAAATGTTTATTAAGCCCAAGGGTTAAGCGCTCGCTGTAGAAAATGTCTGTGAACACGCAACACACAAGAGAAGGTCTGTGCCCAGCTTGGGACGTATATTGGCTGTAACATTTATATTTTTACCTTTACCTTTGTTTTACTTTATTAATTTGACATTTATCTAAATAAAATTCTAAATTACTCCTCTCTCACGCCGTATTTTTAACTCTTCGCAAAAAAACATCTGAAGAAACAAAAATGAATACACATAATAATAAAAACGAATACACATTACAGCCTGTCTAAATTAATTTGCTCGTATCATGAAATGTCACCTTTTTATAATCAACCACGTTTATACATACTTAACGGTTTACGGTCATGCAGTGGCTAAGCGAGTGATTATGTCGCTGCGGTGCCACGGGCTCGAATCCCTGTATAGATATAGATAATAGATGTTTGCCATATTTATGTATGTAAACTCGATATAGGGAATGATTCTAGTGCTACGTTTTTTTAACACACTTTTTGAAAATCACATCTCTTTGCACAGGTTCCTGATGGTGTTCATGTGTCTATCGCTGTCAGTATTTTCAACAATCGAAGAATACGAAGCAAAAGCAGGCATTGTACTGTTCTACATGGAGACTGTAGTTGTCGTCTGGTTTGCCATCGAATTTGTTTTAAGGTAAAAATATATACTATACTCGATCTACTTTGAACACATTTATCATAAGTAACAAGAATAACATGTCACCCGTTGACGTATTGCTGTTTACCGCGCCGGACCAAAATTGATTACGTTAAGAATTGACTTCTTCAATTTTCTCACATTGGTACGTGAGGGTAATACGGTGACCTTGAGCTTTACCACCCTATGAAATCAAAACTAGGAATAGGACAGAGACAAAACACGAAAGCGTATACTATAATTTATATATTAAGAAAAAAAAGCAAAAAAACTTTCGCAATAATAAGAAACACTTCGAAAAATCAACATTAAAAAAAGAACTTCACTACGCAATACTAAAATATTTGCCATAGGTAATGTCAAGTGTCCAAATGGCGTCGATAAAGTAGCGCCCTTTTGACAATTTACTATTTGATGGACTGATAAAGAGCTATCGTATCACAGACCCATCTATGCAAACAAGGCTGTAGTTTTTGAGTTATAAGAAAGTGACCATATTAACCGGATGACCAATTTACCCTCACGTACTATATTATAACAGCAATAATAACACCATACGGTCTATCGTCGTGTTGTGCTAGACATTGTGGTGGTGGTATAACAGCAATAATAACACCATACGGTCTATCGTCGTGTTGTGCTAGACATTGTGGTGGTGGTATAACAGCAATAATAACACCATACGGTCTACCGTCGTGTTGTGCTAGACATTGTGGTGGTGGTATAACAGCAATAATAACACCATACGGTTATGGTGTTGGCTAGACATTGTGGTGGTGGTATAACAGCAATAATAACACCATACGGTCTATCGTCGTGTTGTGCTAGACATTGTGGTGGTGGTATAACAGCAATAATAACACCATACGGTCTATCGTCGTGTTGTGCTAGACATTGTGGTGGTGGTATAACAGCAATAATAACACCATACGGTCTATCGTCGTGTTGTGCTAGACATTGTGGTGGTGGTATAACAGCAATAATAACACCATACGGTCTATCGTCGTGTTGTGCTAGACATTGTGGTGGTGGTATAACAGCAATAATAACACCATACGGTCTATCGTCGTGTTGTGCTAGACATTGTGGTGGTGGTATAACAGCAATAATAACACCATACGGTCTATCGTCGTTTTGTGCTAGACATCGTGTTGGTGGTATAACAGCAATAATAACACCATACGGTCTATCGTCGTGTTGTACATGTTGTACATCATTGTGCTGGTGGTATAACAGCAATAATAACACCATACGGTCTATCGTCCTGTTGTGCTAGACATTGTGTTGGTGGTATAACATCAATAATAACACCATACGGTCTATCGTCGTGTTATGCTAGACATTGTGCTGGTGGTATAACAGCAATAATAACACCATACGGTCTATCGTCGTGTTGTGCTAGACATTGTGGTGGTGGTATAATAGCAATAATAACACCATACGGTCTATCGTCGTGTTGTGCTAGACATTGTGGTGGTGGTATAACAGCAATAATAACACCATACGGTCTATCGTCGTGTTGTGCTAGACATTGTGCTGGTGGTATAACAGCAATAATAACACCATACGGTCTATCGTCGTGTTGTGCTAGACATTGTGGTGGTGGTATAACAGCACGACGACAGTCGAAAACAAATCCGGAGTAAGTAACAGCGTCTTCCTAAAACAACTAGAAAATTAAAAAAATTACTCCGTTAGCTAACTCGCTTGCCGGGCGCGATAAATACGGCAAATATCCCTCTTTTGAGGCAATCTATGTGATTTTGATGGCTGTGGTGATGATGATAAATCTGACAGCACTTTCTAGCACTTGTTTTCTTCTATAGAAAGGAGGGAAACGTGAACACACAGTTCACCTGATAGTGGATGCTGTGGTCCATGTATCAGTCTACATCTATTCTCGATTCTGTATCAAAATCTAAACGCGTTGTTACCTATAAGTACTAAGATGGAATGTCTCATTTCCAGTAATAACGGTCTTCAGTTCCCTTTACCATACGAAACACATATTTTACGCTACGTATTCGAGCCATATACTGGATGAACTTTTTTATCGTCCTAAAAAAATAGGACGTAACAGGTGAACGGTATAAAAGCCTATGGCACTGATATTTTTTTCTTTTACATTAACATAGTATGAAATTGATCTATGAATGAATACTACTAATTTGGTGTGTATTATTTTAATTTCGATAGTTTTTAATTGATTTATTTATTTATATTCAACATTTTTGTTTTTATTTTTTTAGTACCGAACATTTACTTCATGTTAGTAGTATTTATTGATAAATCAATTTCATTATATGTTAATGTAAAATAAAAAATATAAAATATCAGTGCAATCGGCTTATATTCCATTCACCTGTTACACCCTATTTTTTTTTTCAGACATAAAAGAGCTCATCCAGTATAGCTGCAGCGTGGTTCTACGAAGTCTAAAATTGTCAAAATCATATGTAGATTAATGTAAATGGGAATAAAGTTAAATAAATTAAACACTATAATTATTGATATCTTGACGATCGTTTGACCTAGTAGTCAAATTCGTACCGTGTTCTGAACTCGAGTACAAGCTGGAGCCAACACTTGTGCAAATACACTTATTGTTGGTAGTATAGTAATTGATCGCTTGTATCTGTCTTCATCTAGCCTTATGTGGCTACGAGCTCTACTTAGTCAGCATGTATGCTTGTATCACTAGAATGTCTTTTGAACTGTACATTCGTGAAAAGGTAATACCAAATTTATTTTCCTCCAAATGCCAACTTCTCCTGTAATTAATAATAATAATAAATGTAATAATAAATTAATAATTAATAAACGAAAATCTAGCTACAAACGATACATAATATTTAAGCCTACCGACACACTTTAACACTGTTTTCGGCATTACACTCACCAAACCGACTGTCAAGTGTAGTGAGTATGGTTGCTTGCCTTAACTGTTTGTCCTTCTTGTTGCGTACTGCGAACTATATAAATCAGCATCAATTTTTTATGGAAAACATCAAGAATAAAATCATGTAATGACAACTGTAAGTTCCCGCGTCATGTAATTTTATACAGCGCAAAAAAGGTCCACACTTTTTGCCCTACTTTAAATGTATTATGTAATTATCTTTATTCATAATCTGGAGGTGGAAGAACAACTTTAAATACGAAAATGTCACTGGCTGACACAGTTTATATGCCCAACTTATAGACCGTCTTTGCATAAAGGCAGGACTGTGACATATACAATTGAATTATGTATTCGAATGTCCCGTACGTTTATAACTTGCAATGCGCAAGGGAGTTTTAGTAAAGTAAACTAACTACTGAACTTTAACGAGGTATGTATTCCCTAAGCTGTTGCTAAAAATAAAATGGACATGTATATGTGTATTAACAATGTTTTTTTCTTTTAAGGCTATGGTCATCAGGATGCAGGTCACGTTATCAAGGATCAATTGGACGTCTAAAGTTCTTAAAACGACCTTTTTGTATAATAGGTAAGTGATGTTGTTGATGATATTAAATTAAAAATAAATATATTTTGCAAACATCGGACGTGAAATGGAAATGTAGTGCTCTATTGCTACCAAATCAAAAAATCGTGATGCACTTAACTTCGATCAGTTTTATATTGCACTTATATAATAATAAAGTACACCAATAGCAAGAGAATATTTCAATTAATGCGTTCTTATATATTTTCAATTAATACTTTTCTACTATTGGAGAATTCAATTAATACTTCTGACGTAGTTATGAGATTATTTATTTCGATTATTATTTAAAAAAGTTAATTGAAAATAATTTCACTTGGACGTTAGTCAGTCAGGTCGGTACGGACGTTAACAAGATATCTTTAAAAAACCTTACTTAAACCGAACTTATCGTTTTGATTTTTTTTTATTAGCTTTAGATTTTAATCCTTAGCAAGCCTTTTGAACTTCAATATAGCAAACCGTCCCCTTCATTAATATTTCACAATTTTTATCGGTAGCAAAATGCGAATCACAAGTATAAAGCAGTCAAACAATTTCGTGTTAATAAAACAGCAACAATTTTTTGTAGCTTTAAACAAAATGCGTGTTTCGGTAATTAATAACAGTAAATTCATTATTCAATACAATACATGAGCGTTAGACGTGTACATTTCTGTAATTTGCTAATATCTTTTTTTTTATATTATCTTAATATTAAAAAAATTAAGCAAAAAATGGAATATGCGAGTAACAAATTGTTAAAGTATATTTAGCTATGTGATATTTGGTACGTGCCCTATTTTAGATGCTACCAATGTGCTACGACCTTCACATTTCAGCGTCCTTCCCCTGAGCGTTCGTTTCATGCGACCGCCATTTCGCTCTCAGGGGAACAGACCTGTCCTGAGACCGCACTAACCGACAAACATCGCTACACGTTTCGACTGCTTGGCTTTATGACTTCACCTACTACACCCATAAATACTAAACTAATACCTCCTTTCAAAATATATACATAAATAAAAAAGCAACAGAAAATAAAATGTTATAAAAATCGTTATTCTTCCTTATAATTGTTCTGTTTTGCTACAAATCACTTATGTGACTTTTATAATAATGTATGCACAACAAAGCAACAAAGAATCTCTATTACGCCTGATATTTATTTGTTTTCTTTACACCTTTAACTATAAGTTCAATAGACCAACTTAACGTCTTATGTTAGAGTTGGGGGGGGTCTCTTGGCTCACTGCAAAGAACAGTATATTTCACAACGCGAGACGCTGCTACGTACACCCCTGTAATTGTTGATGTGTTGACACAATGAGACGGGGCGGAACGACATTTACAATATTAAAAAAGTTTTAATTACCTTAAACTTGGCTGGCTATTGATGATTTCGATTGAATATAGATCTCACCTTCCAGACAAAGGCGCATCTGCAGAATATTGCTAGTACTTCTCTCTGTTTTAAACGACTTAGTGGATCGATTTCAGTATATCTATATAAGGTTCTTCGATCTTCCGATATGTACAAGATTTATGTTCCTAATCATTTAACCGAATTCAATGGTAACTAATTCACTGCTCAGTTCTTTGGAATGTCTTGCACAATGATATCAAAAGTCTCTAATAAATACTTCTTCGAAAAGTTGGTTGGTGAGCATATATTGCATTAGGCATTTCTTATAGGGAATGCAAATACATGTTTTATTATAGAATAAGGGTAATAAACGAGCACAGTACACCTGATAGTGAGTGGATGCAGTGATCTGAGGACTAATATGGAAAGTGTTAACATTAAAAACGTTCTCCAGCTCTCTACACTCACCATACAAAACACAGAAGCTTTAGAATGCTATTTTACGCTGGTATTCTGTGAGGGTGTGGTCCTTCCCTGACCAAGCTGACCTGATTACATACCTGCTGATTACATACATACATACCTGCAGCGTGGTCCTACCACGTAAAAATACACATATAAAATACCACGTGTAATATTATATTTATTTTTAAATTTTGATTATATACTTTTATTATTATCATTTAAAACATATTGCATATTATATTTATTCTCTATGACTTTAATTGTAAATTACACTTTGGAAATCTCATATTCGATCTCCACATGCAACGCTCACTTCATGTCTAAGTACAGTATCAACAAAAATTATGTAATAAAGCCAAGAGGGGGGCCAGGAGACCCATAGCACAGGGTAACCTAGTTTGGGCTCCTGTCTCCCACAGCTACTCAAAAACTCTTTAACTATTTATGAAACTATTGTAACTATGTAAAAAGTGGGAGAAATAAATGTTTATTATTATTATTATATAAAGCATAAATCGCCATTTCGTGGTTAAAGGAGTAGAGTATTGCAAAATACAAAATTTACTTTTGGTGAAAAGTTAGTAATAATTCTCTTTAAGTAGATATAAAATATAGCTAACCATGTAGCAGTGGTGTAAGAATATTCAGGTGTCAAAAAGGTGTCTATGCGTGGTAGAGCCATACTGCAGTAATATTAGAAGTATAGTTGTAGCACGAATGGGTCGTCTCGACCGGGGACGGACCACGCTCTCACAGAATACCAGCGTAAATTAGTAGCCGGAGACCCTTTTACTGGAAATGAGGCATTCCATCTTAGTCCTCACTGGTGACAACGTATCTGCATTTTATTTCGTAATCGAGGATAGATGTAGATGTCTATGGGCCACAGCAACCATTTACCATCAGGTGGACTGTGAAAAAAAAACTGAAGATGATCAGCAGCATTTTCCTGATAACAAACTCAAAATAATAAAAAGCTGCGGTTGCCAACCTGCTTTCTAACCGTGGCGACTATGGCAAATCTTTGAGGACCTTTATTCAGCACTAGACTTTAATAGGCTGTAATAGTAATGGCAGGTATAAAACCTTCAGGACGTTTTTCTTTCATATTGTGAAGAAGAAGAAATTTTCAAAACTTTTATTTTTAACATGTTCCCGATAACCCGCAAATGTAAATATTTAACGTACGTTGCGTTAACAATAGCTTACTTTTCTAAATGTCAAGCTTAAATGTTCACTCTGTCTCTACCCCTCTTTACCCTTACCGATTACACCTTACTTGCATTTTGAAAGATGTATGTAAATTTTTAAAAATCAATGAATAGATATCATTTAATACTTTGGATTAATTATTTGCGTTCGATGTAAACACTGCAAGATTTAAAGTTAATAAATATTAGAGATAATCTGCAAGCACGCGCGCACGCACGCACGCGACTCTTCCAATATTGCTTCATAAGGGGGATATTTTCCATAGTTAGCACTGTTTTTATCCATTTTCCGTTTTTATATTACATAAGAAAATGAGGGAGGGGGGAGGGGGACTATATCCTTTCCAGCGGCTTCGGGCTACAAAATCTTGTGGCTTCTCTCCCAGTCAAACTTGCTTTACGTAGTACTATTATTTACTCTGTGCTTGCGTTAATTGAAAAATTATGGCAGCTGCTATCAATTATAACTAGGAAGAATTAATACCTTAATTTAGTAATATATCCGGTAAAGGTGCTTAAAATAAAATAATCTAATAAAATATCAGTTAAAAATCTTCTGTTAATTTTCAAGAAATAACTTTTTTAAACGTTAAATTTTTAAACATTTTTATCTTGATACGAACAAATTTATACAAATTTAAGACAATAAACAAAAAAATGCTCATGTCCAACTTTACTATTAATATTTTACTTGCATTTTTACTTATTGAATATAGACCCATAAAATATAAGCCTACGTTTATTTCTTACCTTTAAAACTAGATGTAACAACAATCATGGCGTCACTGGTGGTGCTGGGAATGGGTTCATCAGGGCAAGTCTTCGCTGCATCAGCACTACGTGGCTTGCGCTTTTTCCAAATATTGCGCATGGTGCGGATGGATCGGCGCGGCGGCACATGGAAATTACTTGGCTCCGTAGTATATGCACATCGTCAGGTGAATTTATTGAAAATGATTTTTTTAACACTAGTATCAAATACTACACATCATTGTCTTGTACACAAAAAAAATGTAAAACCTATTTTAATATGTTATTTTTACGCTTTTTATGCTACTTTAATAAAAAAATATTAAATGCCAGTATTTGGGCGTACACTTATAGTAGATATTGGCATTATGTTTTGGGATATTTATATAAAAGCGAATGTGCTGGAAACACTGAAAATAGATTTTAAAAATTAACAGAAAATACACCTGCAGACAGATTAATTATTGAAAACGAAACATCGTACTTAACCTCATTATCTTGAGCGTAATTTAAAACAGGTGCACAGTGGGAAAAGATTTATAAAATGGATTTTGTTTTATCTAGGTCAATTTCACATTAAACACTTTTTAAGTTTTTCTAATATGAAATTAATTTTCTAATAATTATACAATATAATTAATAATTTTTTCTAATACATATTTTACAAATATACATTTTCTGATATGGAAGCCAATTTATATTTTCGAAAGTATATTTTTCATAGTGACAATATCAAATCTAATATGATAGCAAGTATAATACGGTTGCCTTCCATTGAAGTTTGTCTGCGATTTGTATAAGCATGATGACAAAGCAGAGCGGAACTGGTGGCAATTTCCTGCCAAGTAGGTCGATATAAACACAAAACAAACAAGACTCTATATCCACTCACAATTGGTGTAGGTTAAAGTTGCATGATTACATTCCTGAACAAATAACACGAGGCCCGCAGTTCTCGCCTTTCTTGCAATATTGACTCAGTAAATAGGCTCCCGCTCCCAACGATTATTTAAATGAAACATTGAAAAAACCTATATAACGTAATAGCTTATTCCTACATATCTAAATAATGTTAAAGATATTTAACGTTATTTAGACATGGCATTTTTTCCTAATATTATTTATTCAAAACGTTATGAATTGGCCAGATATTGAACCAGGTTTTTATTACTCGCTTCCTTCTGTTTTCTCTTTGTTACAATCGATCCCGATGAGCCTTGAAGCTTTGAAATATAATGAATATTCATAATTGATAAAATCAAGCGTTACTTTGCGGAAATCCATTATAATAAAAATATTAATTAATTTGCAACCTTCCGCTAACTAAATACAATAATGTGTCTTACCTGGATTGAAGAGCACCTCCCGCCCTCCCGCAATTGCGTGCACTAACTCCGTCACCACTAGTCCCAGCACCACTACTCCCAACACCACTACTCCCAACACCACTACTCCCAACACCACTACTCCCGGCACCACTACTTACAACACCACTATTCCAGGTAAGACACACCATCGACGATAATACACGTGTTTCGCCTCTACACGAGGCATCCTCAGGTGATGCAGACTCTACGGCGGCTGACCGCTACTTAGCAGTTCTGGCGGTAGCTGGTCCTGGCGAAACACGTGTCGTATTATCGTCGATGGTGTGTCTTACCTGGAATAGTGGTGTTGGAAGTAGTCTTGTCGGGAGTAGTGGTGTTGGGAGTAGTGGTGCTGGGACTAGTGGTGACGGAATTAGTAGTGCACGCAATTGAAGGAGTGCCGGAGGTGCTCTTCAATCCAGGTAAGACACATCATTGTATTTAGTTAGCGGAAGGTTGCAAATTAATTAATATTTTTATTATAATGAATATTCATGTTATTTCCTTGTACTATTTTTATACGTGGTAGAGCCACAGTACAGCTATATTATGGTTGTAGCACAAAAGTTTGAAGCTCGACCGGGGTGGACGACGCTCCCACAAAATACCAGCGTAAAATAGCAGCAGGAATGTCAGAAAAATTATCTGGCTAGTAAGATGAGCGAATACAGTACTGTACTCAAAATAACATAACTACATAATGTTGTCTTTTCTGTTTTACGTCGATAGTACTTAGAGCAAAAACTACTCTATGCCGGTTCGTAATAAATGTTTAAATTGTTATTTTGCAAAATCAATCAAGTACCTAATGATAACATATCGAAAAGCTGTTAACAGTAAATCTATATTTAATTCAAAAGCACTTATTTGGTTGTATAGTTGGTTCAGAAAGTATGCCACCAAACATAGATATCTATTGTTACGTACCGACGTTTCGGGTGCTTTCCAGCACCCATGGTCACGGGGCACTGAGGTGATTGACGTCCCGATGTCAAAGTTAACCCGGAGTACCTTCAGCTTTTTAATTATTGTGTATTATTTTAATTATTGTGTATTGACCAAAGACAATAATTAAAAAGCTGAAGGTACTGCGGGTTAACTTGGACATCGGGACGTCAGTCACATCAGTCCCCCGTGACCATGGGTGCTGGAAAGCACTCGAAACGTCGGGTATTAAAAATAAAATAAATAAAACGCGATAAAATCCGTAAAAGTAGTTTTAATCACATAAAACTACATACAGAAGACCGAAGAGTACAATCTACCTCTTTGTCTTGCGTACGTAGACCTTTGATTTCGCCGAAATTTGGGAGAAGCTACCTTTCATCGGTACTAAGTTAACTGTCGGCTAAAGTGCTATAAAACATTTGTACAGCAGGGCTACAATAGCTATCAGAGTAAAAAAAACAGAGTATAAAAACCATGCAGAGGGGGCTAAGACAGGGTGACGTAATCCCCTAAACTCTTTACCGCTGCATTGGAAGACGTTTTCAAACTAAGCACTTATCTTCGATTTGATGACAAATCCGAGTCGAGTCCTTATGGCATAATCAAAAGAACCTCAGCACTATGCTCAATGATCATCGTAGTATCTCCTCATGGTCTTAAATGGACAAATCAAAGGTCATGTGTAACGCCCATATAACACCAATCCCGGTAGTTGTTGGGACCACTTCGCAGGAAGTTATCGACGAGTATGTTTACCTAGGGCAAACAGTCCCGCTCGGTAAGTCCAATTTCGGCGCATCTTATCGCCAGGTAAAACTAAAACTTGAAAACGAGATTGAATAAACAGTGCGAGTTGTACAATGCTAGTGTTGACATACTGATCGCATACGTGGTTTTTCATCGCTGGACGTATGAGGAAGCTCAGGGTTGGTCAGCGAGCTATAGAGAGCGTTATGCTTAGGTTTCTCTGCGTGATAGATTTAGAAATGAGAATAACCACAGAAGAACCAGTAACCGATATAGCCCAACGGGTTAGTAGGTTGAAGTGGCAATGTACCTGTCATATAGCTTGCCATACTGACAACCGATGGGAAAGAAAGGTCTCGAGTGGCAGCCTCGTATCATTAAGCAAAGTGTGCGGCGACCCTCAACTAGATGGAGTAATGACCTAGTAGGATATGTAGGAAGTCGATCGGTGCAGGTAGCTTAGGACCGCCTTTGTTGCATTCCTTGGGGGAGGTGATTCTTCATATGTTCAGTGGGCTTGTGAAGACGATGTGGTTACGATGATGATAATGACAATTTATCCGTAGAGACAATGTATTCGGAACTAATTAACTAAAAACATAATTCATTTTAAAATATTTCTCAACAGGCTAGAGGGATACGGTCAATGGATGCCAATGACTTCAATTTCACCCTGTTTAATTAGGTTTGAAACTAAAATACTCTAATTTACTCAACACTAAACTCAAATAGGTTTACGTAAATTAATCAACGTAGAATATTATGTTACCAGCAGATTAGGATTTTCATCTGTATCGTGCTTGAATACATATTATAGGCATTTTTTAATAGAAAAACGGTGACACACGAGCACGCAGTGGATGCTGTGGCGCCATAGATATCTACATTTATCCTTGATTAAGAATCGAATCGCAGATGCATTGTCACCCCTGAGGACTAAGATGGAATGCATCGTTTGCAGTACTCGTAAAAAAGGATCTCCAGATCTCTACACTCACCATACGAAACACGATAGTATTACGCGGCTATCTTACGCTTGTATTCTGTGAGGGGCTGATCTTTCCCCGGTCGAGCCGACCTATTCGTGCTACAATAATACAATACAAGATTAATATAGCTGTAGCGTGGCTCTACCACATGAGTAAAGAAACCGATCAGAGGGAAAGCTACTACAAAATGCTCGTTGCGACAATACCCGCACTCTACGGCGCTCTGTCGGGGTACAAACCGGTTTGCGCCGGCTCAGGCAGAGTATCCACGAAAGGGCTGTTAGTCTTTCGCATTTAAATAATTATGAAAGAACAATATTTCGTGATTTTATAAATTAATTATTTTTTATTTATTTTTTTACTATTAGAGTTAAGTTCAGATATTACTTATAATAAAATAAGACATTATAAATTTATATAAGTAATTAATTAGTGTCTGCTAATGCTTAACAGTTGTACAGTATGTATAAAAATTCGAGAGAAAATATACAATTACCAGACAGTGGTGAAGGTAATATTAGTGGTAGTGGTGCTGATGTTGGTGGTAGTGTTGCTGGTGTTGATGGTGGTGCTTGTAGTATCGTTGGTGGTGGTGGGTAGTGGATCACCACCAACACCGCCGCCACTAATACCACCACAACTATCATCACCACCACAGTCATTACCACCATCATAGTCATTTCCATCACCACTACCACCATCAACATCACAATCATCACCGCTGCCCACAACAAATGCCCACTATCACATCACAGCCATTAGTCATTACAAAAAAAATCAGGTGGTCGTACCACCTGATTTTTTGTACTCATGAATAAGTTGTCTTACGAAGATGATATTTATAGAAATATATAATATGAAGCTTCTGTGAGAATACTTATTTTCTTAAAATTCTCATGAAGGTATTCGCGCGGTTTTTAATTATAAATTTCACGTATTTTCTCAATATTCGCCGCAAGATTCCATTAGCCACAATACTATGAAAATTAGCAAAATAAACAATATTTGCAGTTTCAATTTAACAATATATAGACATGTTGTTATATAAATTTAAGTTATAATGTAATCACATGTTGTTTTAGACTATGTAATATTGTTATTTTTTCCTTAAATTTTTCACATTCATCAGGTGACAACCCTATCAAAATGGGTAAACATTTTCGATGATGTTAGAAAGCTTCCTCTCTAGTCCTTACTCTGTGGCTCTACCACGTAAGCACAAATTGCGTATGACCCTTTACAATTATTTTTATGCCATCCAAATTCAGGAAACTTTAATGTCTTACATTTTAAATTAATATCAATGTTTTAATGAGGATAGAACATATTACTTTTAAATATATATTTTTTTAAAATTGAATAAGGGTTACAAACGAGCCCTCGGTCCACCTGATGGTAAGCGGGTGCTGTGGCCCATAGACATCTACAGGTATCTTCGATTAAGAATCAAACTGCAAATGCGTTCTCAACCTTGAGGACTAACCTGAATTGCCTCATTTCCAGTAAAAGGGATCTCCGGATCTCTACACTCACCATATGAAATAGCCTTAAGCTGCTGTTCTACCCTGGTATTCTGTGAGAGCGCGGTCCTACTTCGACCCGGTCGACCCATTCGTGCTGCAACCACAATATAGCTGCAGCAGGGCATCTACCATGTATTTGTATACCATCCAAATTCAGGCAACTTTAATGTTTCTACATTTTATATTAATATCAATGTTATAACGACGATAGAACAAATTACTTATTCATTATAATTCGGAGTGCATAGAAAATATTACTACGCGGTAAAACAGTCAAAAAAATTCTATGTGTGTTTTATGAGATTATCATATCAAATATTAGAACTATTAAAAACTTATACTTTGCTATTAAACCTAATTAAAAAGAATTAATTTATGGTTAATTTTAAAATATTTTTGTTTCAGGAATTAATAACTACATTATACATAGGATTTCTCGGTCTTATATTTGCATCATTTTTAGTTTATTTAGCTGAAAAAGACGTCGCCGACACAAAGTTTAAAAATTTTGCGGAGGCTCTTTGGTGGGGTGTGGTTAGTATATCCACATTTTTCATAATAGATCGACATGTTATTTTCTGAAAAAGCTTAATAAAACAGTTTCGTTTTATTTTATACATTTTAATTTTTATTGCTTATATTACCAAGATTAATGTTATAATTTAGTACGCTTGAAATTCTGTTTTACTTTGACTACAGCGGCAAAATGTAACACAATAATCTAATATAAATAATAACCTTGAAATGTCTTAGATCACGCTGTGCACGGTGGGGTATGGCGACATGGTGCCACAAACCTGGCAAGGGAAATTCATCGCCTCCTTCTGTGCACTATTGGGAATATCATTCTTCGCTCTACCCGCTGTGAGAATCACTTACAATCGTATACATTTCATTATTTAATTACTCGGTAACTAAGAATAATTATTTTGTTTCCCCTTGTTTGTAGGGTATTTTAGGTTCAGGCTTTGCGCTTAAAGTGCAACAACAACAACGACAGAAGCATATGATCAGAAGGCGTCAGCCTGCTGCGAGCCTGATACAAGCCTTGTGGCGATGCTATGCTGCCGATGAACATTCCATGAGTATTGCGACGTGGAAGATGCATCAAATTCCTCTTCCGAGTCCACAAGCAAGGTAGCTAAACGATATTAATTAAACACGGTTCAATATAATATTTTTTTATTATTTTACAAGTAAGTGACGTAAGTCTTATACTGGGTACACGTATAAGCTTGTTGACGTTCTAATGTTCAGTCAAGCAATTTTGAATTCAGGGATTAATAAAATTCTGGTGCTCGACACACACGGTCAGTTAAACTGATCAGTTGAAATGACGTAAGTTCAAAAACAGGCCGTGAGTATGAGATTTTAAGTTGAAATGTTTAGTTGACGGCACCTCACGGATTTTTTCGGGTGCACGACCAGTTAAACAGGTCAGTTGAACTTATGTACATCTAAATACTAACTGTGAGTGTGAAGTAATAAGTTGAAATTTAAAGCCAGTGAGAAGGGAAACCGTTTTAGCTTATATCGGTTTGAACTGATCAGTTGAACTGATCAGTTTATCTGACTTTTTTAGACTTTATTACGTGCCAGTGAGAAAAACTCAAATCACATAAAATTCAAATGGAATAATTTTTGTTCGATGTTCAAAATTGCAACTGGCGAACGTAAAACAACGTCTAGCCACTGCGCTGATCATGTCAGTACCTAGTAGATATTGTAGTGAAGTCAATACACTAGATCACATTTAGGAGAATGTATATACTGAGTGTTTGTACGGTGATCTGTGTACTAAGTTTGATCTAGCTAGAATATTCTTAAAATCCAAAATGAGTGGCTTTTATACGGAAAATTATGATTTGTATCTTATAAATAACTACTTCAAAACACACCAAATTTTTATGGAAATCCGATGACCAATATGTATTTTGACAGTCGGGTTATGAGCGCTTCATTCAAGAACAATGCGTCCTTTGTATCGAGGCTGCCGACAATCCGTCGACACAAAAGTACTTCGTTGCATTCCCCTGCGCCGCACTCCAAGCCCGCGCATCGATACGACGTCAACGCTAGTGCTGAAAATCTCGGTGAGTTACAAAACATGAAACTCATGAATTATTAAAACCAAACAAACATGAATGCATCAACACGAGACAACTAACCACGACCAACTTCAACAATAGGTATGTCATTATAGGAAATTTATTTATCACGTTATTAAACGTACTCGTGAATGAAATATTGCAAAAAATTTGGAAACGTATTTCTGACACACTTCCAGATGTAAACCTAGTTATAGATAATTTGTAGTTAGATTTTATGTGTTGTTTGTAATTTGGCAAGTGTTTCATGTAAATTATTTTAGTTACTAATAATAAATACTACGCTCGATTTCTTAAAAATGGTCTTAAAATAGTTTGCATTATTTTACAATAAACAGATTAAAATATACCTCGAAAAAACAATCACTTGAAACGCTATGCTAATAAAAAGGCTGCATCCAGACAAACATATTATTACATTTCACTAAATATTAACCCGCTCGTTGTAACGACAGTGATCATACAAAAATGATAATAGTATAGCAAAAATTGGCGCTGCGTAAAAATAGTACGATTACTCAAAGCACATAATTTTGAATTAATAATTCAACACAAAAGCATCAGTCTCCACAGCGGTAATGAGCCACATACACAGTGCAGTGAAATGCTTTTTGTTAAAATGGAGCGTGATATGATATTGCACTGTTCCGTAGATAATCGTACATCGGGCGGGGACCATGCGTGTTGTCTACTCCATTGTTGGAAAAGCTGCTTTCAAGGTTCCAATCTTCATTTTTAAACGGCACTATGGCATGACAGTTACAGTCGAAAACTTTTACTGCGTTTCTTATTAATTCTAATTAGTAAGTACTTTTCAGAAAAATGTGAATACACAAAAGCGTAAATATAGACGTACTCCCATTGACCGGACAGGTAATTTGACTTCCGGCGATAGTGGCTACGTCATTTAGATCCAGACACAATTGCTGATATTATTCTACTTACCTTCTACTTCCTTCTTTTTTCCACTTTATTAAATAAACAGATGCACCCGTGTAGAAGAGATACTGCTTAGAAACAACTTAAGAAATTGCAATCAGAAGCTTTATATATCTATACTCAAGCTCAAGTAAAAGAGTGGCTTCTAAGTTTTTAATCGCTTCGCGTAAGAGCTAAGGTAGATATAAACAAAATCATAGTGTTTTGAAAGAATGAAAATGTTCATTGAAGGCATTTAGAATGCGGTTCACACGATGAGTTTCCAGTTTATACAAGCCGACTAGTGGTTTTGGAATGGCTTTGTTTAAAGCTTATATTTTTAAGTTCGGTTACATCCCTTGTAACTGAACAGTAAATATTAATATTTTCACTGCTTTGCATTTATTTATGCATGCCCAGATAGCTAATAGGAACTTTGTAAAATATTAAATTATTCGTGAAATAGGTAGTTCTATCCTAGGTTCAACAATGTAGTATTTTACCTATACTTAATATTAATATTATCGATTCACTTATATGCTATTACTTTATAAGTATTTATTACTTAAAACGTTTACGTCCGCCTGTCTTCGCTTTGTCATTCCCATGAATTGTTTATTTAAAAATATTTATTTTCTTAAATTCAAATATTTAACGTAATATTTAAAATATTTCTATACGATTAAAGTGACTAGTGCTAACGACATAAACAATCGTACATACTTGAAAAAAGTAGGTATTATATTACTTTGTAAGACATGTAGAAAGAATAAATGAGGAAAGAGTGAAAAAGCAAATTTATGTTGCAGAAGTGAATGGAAGAGTCGGAAAGGGACGTCCTAGGCGAAAGTTTATCGACTAAATTGGCGATATATTGAAAATGGGCCAAATTAGGAGTACCCTTAATCGACAAGCATATATGTGGAGGAGGCGAGAGAGGTGTGTCAGGATCGTGCCAAATGAAAGTCTGTAGTCTCTGCCCACCCCTCTGGGTGACAGACGTGAGTGTTTATGTTATATTATGTAGGACATTATAATATAATAATATGCTCATGATAATAAAAATTGGTTAGTTACAAATCAATGGAGGTATGTCTGGTCTTACTATAAAATTTTTCTTATATATGTATATGTGTAAGTGGTAATGATAAATATTATAGGTGGTCATAATTAGCATATAAAACATACCTTTAATTTACAGGTATCTTTTCTACTGTTCAATGCATAGTAATTGACAAAGTTCAATACTAGTATACTTTTTAAGTTCTGTCGTTTACATATTTACCGGCAATTTTGAATTTGGCACTGTTCAATATTCAAATTAACTGAAAACAATCAAAAGTATGAACATTAATGCTGTTCTTTAGTCACAGAGTCGTTTCGAATCTGTCAGGTCACGTATGAAAATGAATCTTACTCAGGTAAATATTCGTGCAATCATTTTCTACAATTTTCGAAAAGATCTAACACGGCTTCGTTGTTTTGAAGAGCTAACTTCTGTGCTCCATGATAAAGTTCCATGTTTGAAGACTGTCGAACGCTGTTATTTAGAATTCCAGCGTGGACATACAATCTTAGTGACAAATCTCGTGAAGGACGTCCAATATCCGTCTGAATATAACATCGTTGTTGTGAGAAAACTAATTCTCGACGATCGTCATGTGATATATCGAGAGATAGAGGCGTTATTAGGCATCTTAGGGACAACCGTTCAGAAGGTCTTGCATGAAGCGCATGGTGTGAGAAAGCTAATTTGCCGTTCGCAGACTTTACGAATTAAGTTTTGAAAAACTTCAATACCTGCCAGCAAATGTTATATTTTTTGTAACAAGAACAAACTTTATATTAAATTAAAAACATGAAGATAAAAAATAAGGATGTTCATTTGAAATTGGAATATAAAAATATTTTTAGTGGAAAATTTATGGAGGAAGACGCTATAAAACTCGTAGACTGTTCGTAGGAATTATATTTTTACAATGGCCGAAATAATTATGTAGGAGCGATCATTGATTTACTTTTACAAATATTTATTTAAAAAAAAAAAACATCAAATTCGAATTCACTTCTTCAAGTCAAGTTTTCAAACAGACACGTTTGACGGACCCAAATATAAAAGAACATTTTTAATATATTTTTTGTATAGATAATGTTAGTGTGACATGCTAAGATAATAAAAAATAATTTTCGATTTATTTCGCATGCAACTATAATTGATTTTAGATATTACGTGTAGACCCGGCTACACGTAATATCTATTTTTACATTTTATAAATTTCTCTTAAAAATCTCACAAATGACTGTGGCAAAACGTTACTACACTATCTCGAACTAAGTCTTTAATATAATCAGGATTGAACTTCACTTCAGTTAAGTACGTTTAATCCCCTCATTATTCCTGCTCGTATTAATTGCCGTCGGTAACAGAACCCGTAATTCTTTGTTAATTCTTTCTTTGCAACCGAAGGAAATTATACTCGGGGTCAACAGCGTTCGACATTTTAAGTGGTCGCTACTCACGATATTTTTTTATTTATATGGACAAGCAAGCACACAGTCCAATTGATGGTAACTGATGACGTCCACAACTTTCCTCGATTAATATTTAATACCCGGTGGAGGACTAAGGTGCAATATCTCGACACCAGGAAACGGGATCTCCGATCCTCGTCAATTATCATAAACAGCAGTATTAAGCTGCTGTTTATAATAGTTGACGTATTCTGTGCGAGCATGGGCTTTTCCTTATGGAGCAGATCCGTTCGTGTTTCCGCCAAATATGTTTTATATAATGCACACCGAAGACCGGACTTTAGTTTTTTAATGGCTCACATGATGGTAGTCATTACCGACGCGAATGAATAACAGCAACACCATAAAGGTTGTAAATGCATTGCCGGCCTTTGAAAAAGAAGAAATCGTGCGAGGAAAAAGCTTTCGGTGGTGGTGTGGATAGTACTGAGAATATTGTCGCGATGAGCAATACTGGGACTTAGCGTCTGGAATTATCTCGAACAATTCCTTTGAGCAACAACTGTGGTTAATGCGATAAAAATGCACAAACGCCAGTGAATCAAGGCTATAAAGGAAAATTAAAAATAAAGAAATCGATCTTTGAAGATTCGGGCCACGCTTTTCGGGATGCGGTCTAGTGAAATGAGCTGGCACTAGCGTGCCTCCGGCCCAGAGACCATAACGGTATTCCATGTAAGACCGAAATTATGTCTTGTAAGATAGAACATATTTTGGATATTACATTAGTCAAACAACATTTTTATAGCCGTCAATGGAAGCAATGCATCGTAAATTATATTATTCTACACACAGATCCGATACGTTTTGGTTTTTCATAGTGCCGAGACATTAATTTTTCTTCATTAGCCCATAAAAGTCTACTAGCCTTAGATTTGCCATTATCGCCACTGTAGACAGGCGGCTTGGCAATTTCAGTAGCAAACGTCTTATACTTGTGACGCTGCTTTCTGTCGGTGGTCCCGATATACCGAACATCTGTCGAAAAAATATGATCTTACGTCACCTGCAAAAATCCATCAATATATTTCGAATCACTGACCTCTATATATACAAGTACGCTGGACTGGCTATACCATACAAAATGACTGTGCCAATTTGAAGCGCCGCTAAAGGATGTCTTGAAAAATAAAATTGACGTAATATGCCAAAGTATGTTGTCTTATTCATATTGTCATATTTAATAAGTCTGTATTTTGAACTTTTAAACTAAGAAAACGAAAGTATTTTATATTGTTTCGTTGTGTATATTAGTTACATAATAAGAATTATTTTTATTAATAATGAGAGGGTGCGTAATCTGTAAAACTCGTTACCAAAAGGGAAGTAGTATAACATTTCACAAGTAAGTGAATTTGCAATAAATATTAAACAAATTAAAACTATTTGATAATATAAGTGCTTAGAAATTTGTTACTAATCTTAATATCTTATATACCAACATGTTTGGCTGTATATTACTGAGTTTTGATAAACAGTAAAATTCAATAGAGTTGTCGAGTTCCTTGTCTATAATACTTATCGATGTTCTTTCC